ACACACACACACACACACACACACACACACACACACACACACACACACAGCCTGTCCCGAGTACCTTCTAGAGCATCCTGGAGGGCTCCCACCTGCTCTGCCAGGTGCTGATTACTGCTCTTCAGATGCTGATTCTCCATCTCAAGCTGGGCAAAAAGAAAAATAAAGATTTAAGAAGACTTAGCCGACAGGTTCAGGCATATAATTCAAAATAAGATTAAAATCCTTTTTAAAGATCAAATCTTTGAAAAAGAACACTTGGTGCCCCAGCAATCCAGGGCTGACCCTCCCAGGGAGCCCTGACCTACCCCCTTTCCTTTGTGCTAACCAGTTTCGGTTGGGATAGAATTCCATTTGGCAGCCCCTGAACCTTCTGTTCTAAAATACCATTTTTCAAAAAAAAAAAAAAAAAAAAAGAATTGTGAAGTGGAATACATGCCCAGAAATCCTCAAACCACATCAAGGAAGAGCTTCGCAAATGACTCTGAAGTGAACACGCACGTGACCACCACCCAGGTCAAGAAAGAGGAATTGGCCAGCACGGTCTACAACCCCAGACTCGCCCCTTCCCAGTCACACGCTTCTCCCTCCCCTGGAAGGCAACCACTAAGTGTACTGGACTCACTTCCTTGCTTTCCGGGCTTTGTCATCCAGGCCCCCACCCCTGCACACATCGGCTCAGTTGTGCCCCTTTTGGTATAAATGGGCTTATACAGTATATACTTCTGGGTTGAGCTTCCTTTACTCAACACACTGTCTACAAGACCCTTGTGCACGGTTGCTGCATTGTCTTCCGACTGAAATCCAACCCAGTTTTTTGAGCACCTTTCAGCAAATATGGAGGCAAACCAGGCATCAGCTCTGCACCCCAAGAGCTCGTAGTCTGGCAGGTGACAGGAGATGGGGAGGCAAAACTGCCAACACCTGCGGCAGGCATGACCACTTTGTTGGGACAGAGGAAGAGAAGCTGAGGTGTGTCCTTTCCCAAACTTCAATTCCTTGCCCTCTGGTTTGGAAAGAGGTTGCTTTTTGTTTCTTTTTGCTGGGAGCACAGTAGCTTCTAGCCCCAGGCTTCTCTAAGTGAGTGGCAGTGAGCCTCAAATTAGAGGTGGAGACAGGACGGGGCTGTCAGGGGACGAGAAATCGGGGACTTGGTGACTCCTGGGCATAGAGCTGCTGTCTGGGGTGACGGAAGTTTTGGAAACAGATGGTGGCGATAGCTGCATGACAGTGTGAATGTACTTAATGCCACTGAATTGTACATTGAAAATGGGGAAAACGGGCAACGACACGTGTATTTGGCCAACAGCACAGAGACCAGTTGAGAAGAACGGAGAGGGCAGAGGTGCAGTGGAGAGGGTAGGTGCAGGGTGTGTGCCCGCTGTGGGGCAAACAAAGCCGATCAGGAGCTCTGGGGAAACCCAACGGCCACAGGAGGAAAGGAAAAGTGAAGCGAGTCTCAGTGTTTAAGCCGAGTGAAGGACAGATAGTTAATACAAGGAAGGTCAGTCAAGGCCCCGCAGACAGGAGGCAGAAAAATGCCGGGGCACGGAGGGGACTCCCCAATCCCCCCTGCATGTCCACTCCAGGTTTCCTGAGATGAGTTTTCCACTCACCTCTCCTAACTTCAGAGTCACCCATTCTTTGATCTTCGCAGCTTTTTCCTGGACAACTTTTGCTTCTTCAGCTCTCATCTGCTTCTGCAAGAAAGGGAGGGACTCGGTGCATCAGAGCGGTCACCAGTGGAGTGAATGACTGGAGGCAGGAAACGCTGAGAAGGAATATCAAGCAGGTGGGGGGGGGAGGGGCAGCGGAAAAAAAGAAATTCACTTATGAATTTAAAAAATATTCTGAAAGTGGGAAAAGGCTTCCTCAGCGCGATCCATACCCTGAAGCCATGAAGAAAAAGACGATCAAGTCTATACCGTCACCATAAATTACTGTATGACAAACAAAAGGTCCCCTAAAACCAAAAGACCAACTGGGGGATGATTTACAACACAGACAGCTTACACAAGAGGGCGAATTTGAAATGAACGAACCAATAACTACGTGTGAAAAGAACACGAACAAGAAGTCAACAAAGAAATAAAGGGAAAGAGAAACCCATGAAAAGCGGTTCAACCCCACTGTGATTTAAAAAATGCACAAAAAATCAGACATCGTTTCCTCTTGGACTAACACAATTGAGAAGTTTGATGTTGTCCCAAATTGCCAGGGCTGTTGGAAAACAACCCCTGTTCTAGAAATTGGCAAAGCCTTTTTGGGTAGCAATTTGATAATCTCTGTCAACGTTTTAAATGTACAGACAGCTGACCCGACAAACCCACGGCTTAGGAATCGTTAGTTGCTGTATTATTTGATCAAGCAAAAAAAACTCACAACTGGACATAACCTAGGAGTCCACAAATCCAGGCTTGGCTAAATAAACAAAACGAAAATGGAATGCTGTCCTTTGATACAAAAGAAATGTTCACAGGGAATACTGGAAGGACCTTAAGGTTAACCAGCTGAAGGGCTCTGCAAACTGGCCACCATCCAGCCTTCCACCTGGTTCCTCTCCCCCTGCCCCACCTGTTTTTATAAGTAAAATTGTACAGGAACAGAGCCACAGGCATGCCTATTACTTAAGTATTGTCTAGGGCTGCCTTCCTGGTACAATGGGAGAACTCAAGGCCACATAGCCTGCAAAGCCCAAAGTATGTACTCCCTGGCCCTTTACAGAACAGGTCTGCCAACCCCTGCCCTCGTCTGATACCCTCTGTATAACGGAGGCCGAGAGGGTGATGTGGCTTGCCTCCGTCAGCGTAGGGAGCACAGCTGGGACTAAGGCTAGGTCTACTGACTTGTAGAACAGCATTATTTCTATTCTGACCTTTTATTATTGGAAAACAATTTTTTTTTGATCCAGGCTTCAGCGGGAATCATTTTGCCCACGAAACCCCAGATGTGGCCACTTCTATGAAGCACTCAAAAAAGGAGGTACCTCCAAAGTCAATGAATAACTGATTAGAGATTTCACGGGTTGACGTCGTATTTCCCCACGACTTCTCAGGAACACATGCTGGGTGCCCCTGAGTATACAAAGGCCCATCGCACCATGGACACGTTCAGTGACTGGTGATGAATGATTACAAGTTTGCCCATGATGGTGGGGAGATACTCCCAGGACCAGCTGGCACCTCATGGAGAATTCACACAGAAAATTTACAGTCATCTGGCCACACTGAGGTGGTTTATGGGAAATGATGGTGCTCTGGTGCCAAGTGGGAAGGTGAGGCCGAGGACAGAGGGAAGGACAGCAGTGGGGAGAAGTTAATGGGACTGTAAAGGGGAGGAGGCTGGGCACAGGGAACTGGCAGAGTGATGTTTCAGAAAACCTTCCTGGAGCAAAGGGCTAACGAAGCTGGAATGCTAGGCATGGCCTCTCCTGGGCCCATGTCTGGGCACCCGAGTATGCCTACTCAGGTTCACTGAGAAACCCTAGCCAACCAGCTGACCAAGGCTCACGGTCCAGCTCTGTGCCGCTATGATACTACGCAGGCAGGGCCCAAGGCCAGGGTGGAGAAGGACGGGCTCTCCTTACCAAACCCAACCTCATGTCTGATACTATACACAGATTACCTGAGTTCACTCTCTGGACAGCCCTGGGGTGTATGATGACCCTTAGCTTACAGTTGTGTAAATGGGAATCCGTGACTTACCTGCCCATAGCCAGAGAGCAGCAGGTGCTCGTAGGTAGGGTGGGGGTGGGGTGGGAGGTGTCAAACCCAGATCAGTCTGCCTCCATGGTCCTCTCCCCACTATATCCCCTGCCTGGCTTCTAACAGTTCAATCTTCACGTGAAAGAACAGTCACGTGAGGGAGGGGCCCCCACCAGCAGAGGGGCCCTGTTCCGTTGCAGGGGACAAAGGTGCTGAGTGGGGCGTCGGGCCTTACCTGCTTCTCCAGCTGCGCCTCCAGCTGGCCGATGAGCTCATCTTTGCCCCGCATGGCTTTCAGCAGGTCCTGGTACTTCCGGTGCAGGCTGCCTGCTGTGTCCACGTTCTTCAGATTGGACAGTTTCACCTTCTCCTCCATCACACCCACCTTCAAAGTACCATCGTCACGCAGGGTTAGCATGTGTGTGTGAAATGGCCACTAACCTGCCCTGGGACCCTCCCTAATGCCCCAGTCCCCAAGTCCCAGGCAGAGCCCTCATGACAACAGGGGGACCAGTTAACTCTGGGACCATTTAGTAAGCCTCACATGGGCAAACTAAGGACATGAGGAAGAAACCGTTGGGTACTTGGCCGTGTCACTCTGGGGGCCTCAACAGGGACAAGCTGGGCAGGACAAACTGCTTCTAGCTCACCGTGGCCGAGATGGCTGCTGCTCACTGAAAGTCCCTGTGCTTCTCACCCTGCCCCAGCGCTCTCATGGCAAGATGGCCATAGAATTCCCTCCAGCCCATGGGTCCGAGTGGAGTGACTCATCATTTCTGGACTGAGGTATTTGAGAGCTCTCTCCCTGCCACGGCAACCAAGGAGGCGGCCTGTTCCAGAGGGTCCAGGCAGAAGATGGAGAGCTCTGTCAGCCTCGATCCCCAAGTCCCTGTGGGAAGCAGAATCCCCAGCTAACTCTGGATGGAGATGCACCACGACAGAGAACTGGATGGGATAAACTGCTGAGACCCGTTACCTTAGCATAACTTGGCCATGTGGACTAACCCAGTCACCTGCTCTCGCGCTAACCCTTACCCAAAGACTCTATGCCCAAAGAGCGCTCCAGGCACCTAAATTATCTGTTCAGAAGAACAGACATGTGACTGCTGGTTTTCCTTGTCCCCGTGAGGAGCTGGTGAGGGTGACAAGTATGTGTGTGGGTGTCCCTGGGAAGGATCAAGGAAGGCCAACAGCCGTTTCTGTGGCACAGTCCCACCCGTCCCCCGCCCCGGTTACCTGGGTCTCGGCGTTCTCTGCCCTCTGCTCTGCCTCCAGCAGCCTCTGCTCCAGCTCCTGCATCTGCTCGACCAGAGAGCAAGGACAAATATCAGTGCGGTGTCCCCACCACGACCGTGGCTTCAGGGCAAAGTGAGCAAACCGTGTAGACGCTCCACACGGGCCAGGTTTAAACTACTCAACTCAAGGGCGGCACAAGGGTCTCAGGGCAAAGATCTTCATGGCAACCCTCTGCTCCCATATCCCGAATTTAGGGGGCTGGTGAAGAGCCTAGAGCTGCTGTCCTCTCTGCTGAGCGAGCAGAAGCCTAGCTCTGTCTCCCATGCGTGGCATACCCAGGAGGGTAGCAGGAACGTTCTTCATGAGGCAACGCTACCCTCAGCCCTCAGTCTTGTCAGCACCACGTTCCAGGCAGGGCCTTGCCACTGCTCACCACGTGCCTGGCACGAAACACGCTCCCACGTGAGCCACCACGCCTGCAGTAAGAGAATGTTCCTTCCCACCCAAGGACAGCTCACTGGCTGGGGGCAATTATTAATCCCTTATCAAGGACATCTCTGACTATAAATGGCATCAATAGGAATCAACTTATTTGATTTCTTTAATCTTAAACAGAGACGCTCAAGACATGTTTTTAAAAATTCTATCTCGCTACCAGTAGAGACGTGTCATTGAGGTCTGAGGAACTCGGCAATTCTCGAATTTTACACCAACTGGCCAAGCTAAGGGACGAGTGTTCTTACCCACGGAGGCTCCTGAGGGAGCAGCTCTAAGCTAAAGGCTAAGGTGATGCTCACGGGCCCACACGACACCCCCGCAGCTTCACAAGCTCCCGGTGAAGAGTGTGGGCTGGACCGCAGCTCCCATCCTCCCGGGGTCAGGGCCGGGTCAGCCACGCTGCCCTGTGGACATCACCACACTGAGGCAGTCACATGTCCAACTCTCCTGTCAAGAGCCACCTGCTTCCATGTGCCACAGCCCGGTCAGTCACCTGCTCCCAGCCCTACCATGCCTTGCCACGGGGGGCTTTATACACACACTAGGGGCAGAATGGCTCAGCCTTGTCCTCCATGAGGCTGGACGGGTCTCCCCTTCCCAGCTCCAGTCTAGCCTCACCCACCTCATCTCTGCAGATCTGGCCTTTTCTCCCACTACTCAACCTTCTCTTTTTGGCCTGGATCCTGGTTTGAAACTGAATCCCTTCTTTTTTTCCCAATCTCTCATCTGCTCAACTGCAATTCTGCCTTCCCTTCTTGATTCAAGGATGCAGGAGAAGGAGCCCCCCAGCCTGGTGCTGGGCAGTGAAAGGAGGGTTCCCTGGGAGGAGGGCACGCCAGAGAACCTGGAGCAGCTCTTTTCTCAGGCCAGCTTTTCCTCACCCACTTTTTCCTCCTTCTTGGGGCTGGGGAAATACAGATGCTTTCGGCACACATTCCCTATGAAAGGATCTGAGGATCCCAGGGAAAACTCAAGATTTACAACCCATGGGGCAAAAATGCCCCTTGGGCTCCCAGTAGACAGGACCACTGCTGAGGGGCATTCATGTGCTCAGGCCAAGGCTGCCTGCAGCTCTTCTCTCCTTCCTCTCCCAGGTTTCATCATCACGATTGAGCCTCTCGACTCAAGCCTGAGAGTGTGGGGTGGTGCCGGCCAGACACAGGCATCAGTTAGAGCCAGACGGCCTTCCCCAAGGCAAACAGCCATGGAGCCTGTGCTACAGAATTCCCTGACCTTCAAACAGCTACATGGAAGATAAGAGCTTAGCATCAGCTGGTATTATGGGGACAGGGCTGGCTTCCCAGAGCAACAAGAATTCTGTGTAGCTGGAGTGGGGGTGTAGGCTGACACACAGCGGCGGCCCCCGGTGACCAGGTTAGTACTATGTAATGTGTCCCCCTTAGGCACCAGACCTGACTGGGCCAATCAGGTTCTCTGTTCCCAGGAATCTGACATCTGGGATTGAGAGACCAGAGACAAGAACCAGGGGACTGCATGGGAGATCGTGCACAAACTTCACCAACTCATGACTGTTAGCTCATTCCTCCCATTCTGTGAGCTGCTCCAGGATCCTCCAAATGAATTCCATTTGCTTAAGCTAATCAGAGTTGGAGTTTGGGCCCAACCTCAGAACCATCTCTAATACAGTTGCTGGGAGCATTTACATTTCTTAAATAAGACTTACTTATTTGAGAGAGAGAGAGAAACGTGCGCAAGCAGGAGGGGCAGAATGAGAGGGAGAAAGAAGCTCAAACAGACTCCATGCTCAGCACAGAGCCTGATGTGGGGCTCCATCTCCTGACCCTGAGATCATGACCTGAGCCGAAACCAAGAGTTGGACGCTTAACCGACTGTACCGCCCAGCCGTCGCAGAAGCATTTAATTTTTTAAGAATACAGTGAGGGGGACCTGGCTGGCTCAGCTGGGACAGCATCTCACTCTTGATTTTCGAGTCATGAGTTTGAGCCCCACGCTGGGTATAAAGGTTACTTAAGTAATAAAATAAGATAAATACAAATACAATGAAATACTGAATAGGAAGGCTTTGGATTCCTGACGAGTTTCCCTAGATTAACCTTCAGCTGGACCATTCAGATGCAACATCTCTGTAGCTCAGAAGACATAAGATTCCCACAGGAAATGATCACTCATATTGAGTGATCTTGAATATCAGACAACTGTCTGATATTTTCAAACTCCTTTAATAGAAAAACTTGTCTTTATATTCTATGGATGGAGAAACCAAGGTAGAGTGAAGAACAGAATTGTATTCGAGTTCTAGTGCCCAGCTGGGCATTTCCACTTGGACCAAGGGCAGTCAATGACACTGGTGAGGGCTGGAAATCACTCTGGTATTGACAACACAGTGAGCATGTTTTTTCCCACTGAGATTATATACTATTAGACATCCCTTTAAAGAACACTATCCAGCAGTGTCCACAATAGCCAAACTATGGAACGAGCCCAGATATCCATCGACAGATGAATGGATAAAGGTTACACACACACACACACACACACACACACACACACACAGGAATATTACACAGCTATCAAAAATAAAATCTTGCCATTTGCAATAACATGGATGGAACTAGAGGGTATTATGTTATGTGAAGTCAGTCAATCAGAGAAAGATAATTATCATATGATCTCACTCCTATGTGGGATTTAAGAAACAAGGCAGAGGATCATAGGGGAAAAGAAGAAAAAATAAAACAAGATGAAATCAAAGAGGGAGACAAACCATAAGAGACTCTTAATCATGGGAAACAAACTGAGGGTTGCTAGAGGGGAGTGGGGGTAGAGAGATGGGGTAACTGAGTGATGGACACTGGGGAGGGTATGTGTTGTAATTATATAATACAAGGTATTATGTAAGACTGATGAATCACAGACCTATACCTCTGGAACAAATAGTACATCATATGTTAATTTAAAAAATAACAAAGTACGCTATCACTGAAGCAAATGCAATGGAAGGCACCTTCCACAGAGCCTGGGGTCTTCTCCCAACCTGGGCAGGCAGCCGCAGGGTCCCCATATTCCTACCAATCCTACAGCTGTTCTTATCTTCCCGGCAGGGACACTCAAAACTCAAAGCATTTTGTATTTGCCTTTATGCTGGAGTATTTTTTTTTCCTCTAAAACTAATTTCTGAACACTGAAAACATTTTGAACATCTGGAACGTTTTTAAGAGAAGAGTGTGACGACCATCCACATATCCCTCACTACTGTCCAACAATTACCAACATCCTGCCATCCTTATTTGAAGAGTATTTTTAACACAATCTCTTCCTCTGTTGTGATGAACGTACATTTCCTCCATGGCCCGGGAGTACTCCAGGTTTTCGAGAAAAACTCCAGAGTTTTCGAACTTCATTTAACACCAGCATCAATAGTTCTCACGAGGGCAGACTGCTCCTTACACCGCATCCGGGGCCACCCCTGCTCTGGGTTCTGTTTCTCCCCTCAGCAGGTTCCCTAGAGCCGTGTCCTCAGCTGTCCTCAGCTGTCTGTGGGCCTGGGGTGATGCGCTGGCCCAGGAGGTGTCGGGTTCAGGCAGGTGACTCTGAGGCAGCTCCGCTCTCACCAGCTGTGATTGGCACACGAGGCTCATAAATCAGTGGCCCCAGCACTGGCCACGGTGACCTGACAACATGCACTGGGCGCCAACCTGGTGCTCAATCCCTGTGTCTGCAGCTCGTACACTTGTACACTCACGACGCCGTGACACAGCAGTGCCCGGGCAGTGGCAGCAGTGGGCGATCTCGGGCGCTCCCGGCACGGCCCTGTGAGCTGAACGGTGGTCTGAGCTGAGCGCTGCACCTGCTGGGGCTCAGCCGTTCTGCGAAATGGGGGCTCAGCATTCTTACTGCCACGCTGCCCCCACTGGAGAGACGGGCACAGGGAAGCACTCAGGCTTGAACCTGACTGGCTCTGCCACAGTGTGGCTTTACATAAGTTCCTGAACTGCTCTGTGCCTCAGTTTCCTCGCCAGGGAAAAAAGGGTAACGAGTCTCCACCACCTAGGGTTGCCGGGAAGATGACCACGAGGTGCCTCGCATAGAGCTCAGGTGCACAACGTGGCCCTTATGGTGAAGCTGACAGTCAGTTACTTGCTGGTTTTTCAGAGACAGAGATGACACGGAGGACCAGGGAGACCCATTTGCCTGGCATGGTCGGTGTTTCCCCTGTTGTCCCACGATAATTACTAACAGGGCCTTCTTTTCTCTTTCCAGACTGTCCTGGGTTAGATGATAAATTATAGGGTCATCCCACGAATCATCCACCTATAGCAAGAACGGCTTCAAGCCTGAGGCTGCCAGCTCTAGCCTCTGGGGCATCTTGCAAGACCTCCCGTGTCAGGGGCATGTCGCTGACACATAGAGGACTCCACAGGGCCACTGGCTGTGTGTCTGGCACCGGCTTAAACACTCCACGTGTCGACTCACTGAATGTTCATCCCACTGGGCAGGAGCACGTACTACTATTAGCCCACTGTACAGATCAGAAACGGACGCCGGCAGGCTGGGGAACCTCGCTAACAGGCCACGTGGGAGAG